TTTATTGGGTTATGTACAATATGTGTTTTAGTTCAGCTAATTACCAACCTCATCTTACCATTATGGTTTAAAGATTTTTTTTACTCAACTTCCTGATTGTTAGTGGCAAATATGGTGATGTAAGTTTTTCTCTAGAGATTTTTTTCAAGGAACATGTGTCATTTTTTCTACATCCTTTTCATACCAACTTGTCAGAAGTGAAAGTACTTTACAAGAGAGCGGTTGCCAGTTACATGATCAGTGGGAGATTGGGTAGTTATGTCTCGTATTCTTTATATTGAATAAGACTAACAATTACATTCACCCCATTGTTTACTTAAGTGTACCTCTGCAGTTAAAAATATATTCAAATGTACAATATGCAGTATAGTTCAGCTAGCTACCAACCCATTCTTACCATTATGGACAGACTTTAGTGTGTTTTTTTACTTGCCTTTAAGTGAGCCTTGTCATCTGTTTTTTTAAGTGACTCTCAAATTGTGGATTTTAAAAGCACATTATATCTGAGAAAATTTAAAGATCATTTGAACTTAGCTACCCTATTGTGAAATTGTTTGTGTCAGAAGAAGGCCGATAGTTTGAGAAAGAGGCTACATCGATCATCTTTGTCAAAAAGTAACTACCGACGATATCTCTTCAACTTTTAAAGATTATTGATTCAAGACACACCTTAACAATTGGTCAACAAGTCAAGTATTGCCAGAGGCTGAAGAATCAATAGTGTCTAGACAAACTCAAAGCATTTTTAAGCAACAGTAGCATCACAGAAAAAATACTTTAAACTATTTAAAAGAAAAATAAGAAATTTTATCAAACTCTTCAGTGCTGGCACTTATTGGTCTTCTGCAGTTTGTACAGGTTTTGTCCATAGACTGTATATTGTAGAAATGGACACAACTAACTCGCTAGCTGCCGTGTTCCAAATAGGAATGGGGGCGCTTCCGACTCCATCAACTCTGTTTCCAATTGACTTTACAATGAAAAATCTGTGGAACTGCTGCTTTGAGCCTCGCCATTTTGGTCTTAAAATGTTCGTATTAGCCCACTCTTCATGATCCCAGTGTTTTTATTTCAGTATTTTTTCCATAAATCAGTTACTATTTCTAATATGGAACTTGGCTCCAAAGTCACCCCTGTAACTGCTAGCCTTGAGCCGACCTCTGTGGGTGACATCACACTCCCTTAGTCCACTTTTTTATACAGTCAATGATTTTGTCACAGATTCAGATCCAGGTTTGAACTAGTATTACCATGGTTTTGGCTGATATGCCTCTGTTCAATTTCATTTCTCTTTAGCAACTAGGTAAGGAATCTGAATACACTTGACGGTTTGCAAAACCCCCAGAAGTTGTAGACCGTGCACTGGCCAATCAGCGAAGAGCTGTGAAGCTGGCAATTACTTGGACACCACTGAACGTACTCGCACAAATGTCATGACCAAATAGCAGTGGTTGGTTAAATAAAAAAGTACCTGCCTACCGTTGAGCGAACAAATCCTAATGCTGCAAGGTCAGATGATTTCCACAAACTGAAACCAGCTGATGTATCAGGCTAACTGTTTTTTATATTAGTTGCAACTTTATTTGTTCAATCTGCGTTTTATACTGTTAAGTTTAGTGCCTTACTATAATTCTTGGTTGTTCACAATCCCACACATCAACAGTGTTGGGGAGTAACGGATTACATGTACCGCCGTTACGTAATCACAGTACAAATTATGAGTAACTGTATTCCGTTACAGTTACTGTTTCAATGAGTGGTAATTGGATTACAGTTACTTTGCTGAAATAAGTGGATTACAAGGCGGTATTTTCCTGTTTTCACATTTTGTGCTACATCCCATTTATTTATTTTTTTATTTCGGTAATTCCACTCATTGCAGGAAACCCAAACAGAACGCGCGCAATAAGAGCGATGTAAACGTCATGTTAAAGTTGGCGGTGTCAGTCACACAATGGAAGCAGCAGTGCATTGGTAAAAACGCATTTGTGTCTTGGAAATTCTTCTCCCGACGTGAGATATATATATAAAAAAAACAAATATAAAATCGCCTACAACTTAAATGTGAAACAGGAGCTACTGGCACTGGTGAAAACAACCTGCATAGACTCATAATATCTGCTCTACTGTCCTACGACATGAGGGGACACGCACACAAACACACACAAACACACACAAACACACACCTTCATCATCGTCATCAAACTACCGTCTCGTGCGCCGCGTGTGGAATGTGTTTTCTCGCGTAAACCGTGCTTCCTCCTGTGCGCCTCTAAATCAGAACTAACACCAAAACTAAACCAGGACTAACCCAGGACTAAAGCAGGACTGAACCAGGTTTAAACTAAGACTAAACCACGACTAAACCAGAACTAAAGACCTGGTCTAGACCTGGGGCCTCATTTATAAAAACTGCGCAGGAGTTGTCGTAAGTTAGTGCGTACGCCTAGTAGCTACGACAAGGCGTGCGCCACGCAAACTCCATATTTAGAAAACCCACCGCACGCACCAAACCACGCAATCTTTGCTTTATAAATCCCACCTGCAACTAGAATTTGCGCACGTAAACCTACGTCACGTCACGCCCTCTCCACACCTCCACCTCACCATAAAAGGAGCATGTAAAGTGACTCGTGAATGATATTTCCCTAAACATGAGCCGATAATCAGTGGGTTTGACCGAGACACGTGGGACAGAGGGAGGAGGACGCTCCACGCAGCACCACGTGATCACGACAAAGACTTTATTAAAGACTTTATTAAACCTTGTTTAATAAATAAATACAAAACTAAAAGTGACAACAATGACTCATCTGTTCATTTAATCATATTTCATAATATTTAGGCAGCACATCTTTGCAGTAAAGCCCATGTGTTTTTTCGCTGTTTCAAGAGTTTTATCGCTATATTTTTAAGTCTGTCTATGAAGTGTGTGAGGACTGGCCCTGTATTTATGCATATACACATAGATACGTGCACGCGCTTATCTGAATGGTCAAATTATGAGCGCGTGCGAGAGATTCAGATGCCCTCCCCTGGAGAGGGAAAGGAGCGAGGGGGGGATACGAGGATACGAGGACACAGATTTAGCATGAAACACATCAGATACAGATGTTATTCTGCCAATTAAAATCCATACGAAACATCCAAACTGCTGAACCTGTGAGTGTGGGTCTGGGTCTGTGAGTGTGGGTCTGGGTCGGGACGGGCACGGGCATTATTCTGTTCTTCATACAGTCAGAGAGCAGCTCTCATGTACAAGAGTTCCCCATTACACAAAAATGTAGGGAAGATTTTGGTTCGGGTCAGGTTCGGGCAGTGGGCTTCGTGTTGTCCGCAGACTCGGGTCAATCTGCCGCTCGGTGCGTAAAGACTAAAGTAAAAGTGTTAAAGTTGCGTTCATTAAATCAAAATCTGGCTCCTGCTGCGTCCAAGGGAAGCGTTTTCTCTCAGGTTGGGTCATTATTTCGTCCTCTGTGTTGGTCACAGTCTGAGTTCTATTGAAGTCTATGGTCGCGGTGTGGACTGTGGGACTCTGCGCTACACCGAGTCCGGGAACGTGGCCGCGCTCGTGCACGAGTGTCAAATGTATAATATTGTGGAGAATAATGAGTGGAATAAACAGCCCTTCTCCGTATTTTGGCGAACCAAACACTTAAATGCGCAAATCAGAAGGTAATTCTTCTGTATACGTGGATTTTCTGATCAAACACTTCCTCAAACTCTGTTCACTTCTGTCTCTCTCCACGAGTGTCGCTTTTTCCCTGTGTCTCCAGACTTTGCGTAGAACTTACAGGAGGTCCCGAGTTGGCGTAGAGTTAAGCAAAGAGCCACGCCTTAGGCGAGTTTTATAAATACCGCGGTTGGCGTAGGAAGCGCGCACGCACGGATTTTTGCGTAAGCAAGATTTATAAATGAGGCCCCTGGTCTAAACCAGGTCTAAAATCAGGAGTAAACCAGGTCTAAAAATCAGGACTAAACCAGGACTAAACCAGGTCTAAACAACATGACACCTAACAGTAGGTTGACATTTTAAGGTGATCTCATATAAAAAATAATTTCTCTATCAGTAATATTTTTTAATATGGCTTATCTTGTTACTGTCTTTTAACAGACAAAACCTCTTATATTAGGATATCATGGTCTTTGTTTCTTTACAGCAAACAGTTGCTTATACATGGAGACTTGGGCTCAGACAATTTGAAGACAACAAACAAGAATTTTCAGAATGTGGTTGCTACATTCATGTCGTTTAAAAAAACATGACAATATCAAGTAATCCAAAGTAATCAGATTACATTACTCACTTTAAGTAATTAAATGGATTACATTACAAACTACATTTTGGGGTGTGTAATCTGTAATCTGTAGGGGATTACGTTTTAAAAGTAACCTTCCCAACACTGCACATCAACATATACAAATATAAAAAAAACTGCATGTATTTTTAATTTTCTTGCTTTTTCTCCTTGTCTTTCACTGACCTCCTTAACAGTTTCCCTATTCACACATCTCCTCCTCATGTCCTAAGTATGTCCTTGTGCTGTTTACTTGAACCAGGAGGCTCTTCATTTCACCACAAAAGCAACATCTAAATCACAAAATCACTCATGGGCACGAGATAGCAGAACGGGAAAGGTATAATTAGTCCATAATTAGAAACTTTATCTAACGCATTACTCCGCCACAATCAGTCATGTGCTAACGAACCTGGATGCTGAAATGAGATTCCCACAATACAAGAGAGACAGCGGATTACACACCTTCATTTGTCTGACCAGTTGCCAGGAGACATTGTTGGCATTTTTAGTCGAAAAAAGTTATTACTCATGTCTTTGTTTAGAAAAAAGGACTGGCAGGATTCATGCATGCCGCTTTGAAGCACTTAGTGGCAAAACATAGCTATTACACAGGGCCTTTCAAAACAAACCACGACAGAGAGTGCTATGCAATTAGATGACATTAACGCTGTCATGATGTTTTTTGTTTTCTCCTCTCAGAGCTGGAAGTGGCGAGGTTGAGCACCGATGGAAACCTTGTGGACTTGACATTCCCCCAATCTGAGCTACACGGAAACTCCATCCAACTGTCAGCCAGCACTCTCAAGCAACACGGACGAAATGGTAAAAGAAAAAAAAAATCTCGCCTCTCCTCTCACTTGCTGTGGGGTGTCTGTGTGTCAGACCCACCGCCGTGTGTTTCTCTCACCCCTGCTCTTACAGGCTATTTCTGGACACAACAGTTATTAAGAGTGTTGACTCATGTGTACGGTCCATCCCACAGGTGAGATCCGGATGGCCTTTGTCCTCTACAGAAATCTGGGCTCGTACCTGTCCACAGAGAACGCCAGTGTCAGACTGAGCAGTGAGGCGGTGTACCCCAACTACTCTGTGATCGTCAACTCCCCGGTCATCACCGCCTCTATTAACAAAGAGAGCAATAAAGTATACCTGTCCGAACCTGTGGTCTTCACTGTCAAACACTTACAGGTGAGACACATTATCCATAACACAGAGGTTGGCAGTTTGATCCCTGTTATCTTCATTATGTTCTATTTTTGGAGATCTATTGTTGTATGCATGCAATGGTAGCCACTCCTCCATCAGTCTGCTCCAGGGCAACTCTGACTGCACAAGTGTATGGTTAGTGTAGTTACAGTATGCTGGTTAGTGTCTACAGTAGTATAATTTTACTGCAGTCTCTGATAACATTTGGACAAGATATCAAGTTTAAAGGTCCCATATTACGTGAAATTGACTCTTGTGAGCTTTAAGCCATGTTATAATGTTACCTCCTCAACAACATACTCAGAGATGTGTTTTATTTCATTAATGTTTGAATAATCCTGGATTGTTAGTCTGTATACGTCCCCAAAGCTCAAAATGCTCTGTTCCACCTTTGATGTCATGAAGTGGTAGTTTTCAAGTTGACTGCTATCTTTTACCATTTGTTCAGTTGAGATAGGAAAATTCAGAGCTGAAATTACCCAAATGATTTTAGTGACAAAGTTAAGAGTTTAAAAACACAGTGGAGCATGTCCTTTATTACCACATGACATCATAAGGTGGAATAAAGTGTTTTCTGTTTCAGAGAAGAACTAAATATAACTAAACTATAACTAAATATGCAGGCTTTATGTTTTAAACATGTGTAAATGAAACAAAACAAAACTCCATGTATGCTCCTGATGAGATAACAACATTATAACATAGATCAGAAAAAAGTGTTATTTTATGTGCTATATCAAAATACCCATGCACCCTTTATTTTACACGTGGTAAAATTGGTCTTTACTCAAAGTGCGTGTGTGTGCCAGGTTTGGACTGGCACTGTGCCTCATTTACATCCCTACATGATAATGTTAAGGATCTCATGAAGTTTCCAATTAGCTGGGCGTTTGTTTCTAATCAATTCACTTTGTGGTGTCAAGTAATTGCTTACCCACCGCATCACCACACAGTTTCCTCACTTTCTGTTATCTTTTACACGTACACAGCACATGGATTCACATACGGCTCACAGCAGGTCAGCTTTATTTTCGGATTTGTAAATTGTGTGATTCAAAACATGGTCGCATTTATATTTAGGACACAGGTTGGACTTTTTGATTTTTTTTTTTTGATACTTTGAAGCATTGCAAAGCACCCATTGATACATTGCAGCAGATGTCATCAACATTCCATGGGGGTGTTATGCTAATTGAAGGCACTAATTTAATCTGAGCTTTATTTTAACACAATCTGACTAGAAAGAGCGGACTTAGTTGGAATCACAACAGGTGAGCTGATTTGTGCTGTTTAACAAGTTTCTCACATTTAAAATTACAGTCACAAGCTAGCTAATATTAACCAACAGTTTATTTTGTTGTTTTTTTTTAGTTTGTCACTTTCACCTTTTTGTTGAAAATTGAACACCTAAACAGGATCATGAAATATTGTGCAACTTCTGGTTCAGGGTCTGTCAAATGCTTTTCTGCATGGAAATGTTATTGCTTTGTCTGAAATGTTTCACAGTATGATATTAAACTATCTTCATGGAGACTAAACCAGGCCAAGTTACTAGTCAGTCATCTGTGGAGATGTGACCCCACTCTCAGTCAGAATGCCAGTTTTTTTTTAGGTATTTTTGAGCTATAAAACCACCTTTAAATTAATTAATGTAAGGTAGAGCTGTTTAATGTCATACTGTGAAACTTTCAAGGCAGAGAAATGACATATCTAGAGAAACGAGCAGGTGATGGGGCCTCCAACAGAAAAGTTACACAATGCACCTTTAAAAAAAAATGACATTGTTTGCTAATGTGAGAACAATGTCCCCATGGTAACTGCTAAACATGCCACCATACATATACATGCAGAACAGCCCCAATGTGATGCCACTGCATAGCATCAACCTCGCTAATGTGAGTGGCGTGGGATCACAACATCAGTGGTTATCTTTGACTTTGTGCTTTCTAACAAGCCTGACCAAAGTGTGAGGAGCTCTTGCCACTTGCTCATTTAGTGACTAACTTTACCAGTCTGCCACACTCCGCTCAGAGTCGTCAGTTTACCAAACACGAGCAGCTCCTACACTTGAGAATCTCGCACAACAAGCGGACACAGCTCTGTCACCTCCTGCCACCACTCCATGTTTGTTTGTGGCTGCCCTGTTGCGTTCACTCCCTTCTGTTTGTCTGTTGTTTTATTGTGCTACACTGTGGACTCTTTTGCTCTCTGTATTTGTCTCAAACATTCACAGATCAAACATAATACTATGACCACAACATGTGAAGTGGATAACACAGATAATCTTGCCAAAATACTAACCATTTTACCTATAACATATTTTTATGTTATTTGGAAGTAGTTTAGTAGCCCAAAAAAGTAACAGCGCTGTGACAATGTGATGAAAATAGATCTGTATGGTTACATCATTTTTTAGTAGTAGTAATTTTGTTCTGATTTGAAGAATTCCAAAAATAAGGCTGGTAGTTGTTATCTACTCTTCAATGACAAATAATCCCTAACATAAATATTGGGTTTATTGTGTATGAGGGTACATTTTAGTCAATTAATTAAAAAAAATAAAAATTGAAAGGTCCTATATTACATAAAACTGACTTGCGGGCTTTAAGCCATGTTATAATGCCCCCTCAAAAACATACCTGGAGTTGTGTTTTGTTTCATTCACACATGTTCGAGTCATCTTTTATTATTTCTCTGTCTGCCTGGAAAGCTCTAAATGCTCTCTTCCACCTTGTGATGTCATGAAGAAATAGTTTATATGTTAACAGCAATTTTTTTTACCTTTAGATTAGAGATTGTAGATTGGCAGTTCCAGGACTGAAATCATCCAAATGATTCTAGTGAAAGTGTATAGAGTTTAAAAACACAGTGGAGCACTTATTGTATTACCACATGACCTCACAAGGTGGAACTGAGTATTTTCTGTTTGAGAGAAGGACTCAGCCTAAATATGCAGGCTTTGCATGTTAAACATGTGTGAATGAAACAAACACTACTGTATGTTTTTGATGAGGAAACAATATTATAATATAGATCAGAAAATAGCGTACTATAAAACCTTTAACAAATAGTACCCATAATGCAGGTAATGTTTCTTCTGTCATTTTTAGTTTCACTTATCCCTATGTGCAGCTGTAATGTACCGCTCTTTTCTTTTCTTTCATCCTAATTTGACACTCTTCCTCCTCTTAGCATTCCGAAGAGAACTTCAATCCCAACTGTTCCTTCTGGAGCTACTCCAAACGCACCATGACGGGATTCTGGTCGACACAGGACTGTCGTCTGCTGGCCACAAACCGCACACACACCAGCTGCTCCTGCACGCACCTCACCAGCTTCGCCGTGCTCATGGCCCACGTGGAGGTCAAGGTAAGGTTTTCCGTAGGCTCACTCATTCATCATTTGATTAGAGAAAACTGACCTGAAAAAGTCCACAGCATCTGGGAAACACAGGTCTCCAGAGTCCATGATAGTAACTAATCAGATTTGGCAGGAGGAATTTTACATTCAATTTGTCAGAGGAGGATGATGACACAGAGTGGAATGGAAAAGCACTTAAGACATTTGTATTCCACCTGTGGAGCCCGGAATGACTAAGACAGATACAAGTTGTCTTTGGAGACTGCTGAATACAAGCCTTGTGTGCTGTAAAAACAATGTTTATCCAATCATAGAGAGACAGTTAGAGGCTCATAGCAGGGGTAAGAATATAAAGGGTGGAAGTGACATTTTGGGGAAGATTGAGACATACTATATTCAGTGAGTAAAATAAAAAGCTTTTGATGGCCTCTTTTTACAGCCAAAATATCATAATAATAACGCCTATAAATTTAAGTTTATGGCCAATGAGGAACATAAGATTCACTCAGTGCCAAAAGCCAGTCAGGGCAGCAGTATGCTATTATGTTAAGAAATTACATGAAAGGCTGTAGCCAAAAGGTGCTTTGTTCCTTTTACATATAAAAGTGGAAGACAAATGTTCAAGCCAATCATCAGAACTGCAAGGAAAGGGTATTAAGGGGTTTAAATATTGCACAGACTGCTGTAGGTATTTCAAAAACACAATTTGCACTTTTAGGCACAAGTGTCCTGTGCATGGCAGTTCTGTGGGGTACCTTCAGTATTTAAATAGCTTTTGTATGTAGATTTAAAGGTGCATTATGTAACTTTTCTGTTGTGGGATCCACTACCAGCTTGTTTTCGTGGAGATGCTATTTTTTTGCTACAGTATGTCTCTAAAGTTATCTATCTTGCATTTATTCAGTTACATCTTTTTATTGCTGAACAAATGTCACACTGTGAAACATTCTAGGCAAATTAATAACTTCTCCGTGGAGTCAAATAGGTAGTGATGAACCCTCCACCAGAAAAGTTACAGATTGCACCTTTAAAGTAAACCTTTAAAACCAGGTATATCACATGACTAAATGTAAATAGCTCATATAGCTTTATAAGAGGTGCACCTGAAAACACCAGAGACTGTTCCTGTATGTTAACAGCAAACTATTGTAGCTGGAATTTCTGTTGTTCTATCTTTTTATATTCTCTGTAAATCCCCTGCTATTATTATATGTATTAAACTACGTAGGAGTTAGAGTAAGCAGTTAATACCTGTGTGGGATAAGTCCACTTTCCTTTTGTCTCTTCAGTTTCAGTTTTGTCGCCTAAATTGTGTCTTGTAGCTCTTGATTCAGTGTGACACGCGGCTCTCGCACAGGGGCCAGGGGATGTGTGTTAGTGTAGCAGGGGTCATGGTCAGAGCTAACCCCTGTGTGAGCTCCGTGTGCGGGTGTGAGCAGTAGATCCATCATGGCCGCTCCATAGTGAACAGTGCTCAGGTTGCCAGGCTGTGGGACACTGATGGATAGAGCCAGTGCACCTGTGCAGCGCCGCGTAAAAACATGGAGGAGACCGCGAACACTCAGGGACAAACAGTCAGACGAGCATCAGTCATAGAGGCTTTTGTCTATGTTAAGTTTCAACACAGAGCATATCGGGTCAGTATTTGTTTAAAGGGCCTACTGTATATTACACTATTTTCTGATCTGTGTTATAATGTTGTTTCCTCATCACAAACATCCACTGAGTTGTGTTTTGTTTTATTCACATGTTTAACACAGATATCTTGCATATTTAGTTCTTTTCTCAAATGGAAAACTGTTCGACCTTGTGATGTCATGTTTTTAAAGTCCATGCACCTTAACTAGAATCATTTAGATAATTTCAGCCCTGGAATTGATACTGAATGTTAAAAAGTAGCTGTTAATGTGAAAACTACAGGTCCATAAGATGACAAGGTGGAACAGAGCATTTTGAGTTTTGGAGATGCAGACAAACTAATAGTACAGGGCTACACAAACATGTGTGAATGAAACAACACACAACTCCAGGTATGTTTTTGTTGAGATAACAACGTTCTAACATGACTAAAATCTCACAAGATTGAAATGTGCATAATATAGCACCTTTGAACCAATCTGTGTGTAACGTGAAATTATTATGGTACTAAACAAAGCATAACAGCTCATTTTGTATTTTATGGTGGCAACAAATAGGCAATAAATAACAAAAAATAACTCAACTGGAGAGATGCTGATGTCTTGGTAAAATTCAGAAAACTGTCCTCATTTTATTAATCCAGCCACAAAGAGTCACATGCCAGTGCACTTATGACATGAGACCTGTCAAATTACCAGTCCATTCCCTGCACACCAGGAGGCAAAGGAATTACTGCAACCTTGAAAAGTAAATGACAAAGGGAAAGATTTTTTTATTATGAGTATTGGATATTCATGATTTTCAGGCCCTCTGGTGACATTGTAATCAAAAAGATGATCATTCTACGATAGAAATCACTGCCTGGATTAAGAACACTTGTATTGTATGACCAGGAGTCATGCCTTTATGTGAATTTAAATCAGAAATTCTTCATTTACAATAGATGTTTGTGTAATACTTCAGTCGTGCAGCCAAAAGTTTATTGTAGCAATTACAATAGACATAATAAAATCGTAAAACTGTTTTATGTCAAATGAAAACACTGGCAATTGTCTTTCTATTTCTCCTAAAACCTTGAAATGCAATGAGGTTAAAGGTGCATTGTGTAATTTTTCTGGTAGAGGGTTCGTCACCTGCTTGTTTCAATGGAGATGTCATTGCTCTGCCTAGAATATTACGCAGTATGACATTAAACAGCTCTACCTTACATTAATAGTTTACTTTACAGTGGTTTATAACTCAAAAATACCTAGAAAAACAAGCCTTCTGGCTTTGAGCGGGGTCATCTCTCCACAGATCTGACCTGTAACTTGATCTGAGTGTGGATGTTTTCTCTTTGTAACACCAATGTTCTTATGTTACAGAAAGCAGACAGTATGCATGACCTGCTCCTGGACGTCATCACCTGGGTGGGGATCCTGCTGTCTTTGGTCTGCCTGCTCATCTGTATTTTCACCTTTTGCTTCTTCCGCGGTCTTCAGAGTGACCGTAACACCATCCACAAGAACTTGTGCATCAGCCTCTTCATCGCAGAATCACTCTTCCTCGTGGGGATCAACCGAGCGGACCAGCCGGTGAGCGGACCAGAGCAAATCAATCACTTCTCCTTTAGTATCCACATGGGGCGTTTGTCTTTGGCTAATGCTACAGCAGTACATCACACCAGAGTAGTCACCATAACAGCCTGTTGTCATCGTTATGCTTGATTGTTGTGTATTAAACCTGATCTATAGTACTTGCAGCAAAGTGACAGAGAAGAAAGAAAAAAACATGTCTAGATGGTTTCATTAGTTGGTTTCAATTTTCAGACAGACTTAATTTTGGCTCATGCACATACTCTGCCATTGTTCGTAGTTCTTTATTGGCATACCAACTTCTGAAATGTTTGCTAACTAGCTGTTATTGGTTGACCACATTGAGGCTAGAACAAAATCAACAGAACATTTGATACATGCTGCGTTCCCAGAATAAATCAGAAACACAAATTTGCACACTGACAAAATCTGTTCCGTTTTTCAGCTTTATTACATTGTCATCTCAGAAATTTGCCTTGAGAGACATTTTACAAGCAAAGTAAAATTAGTTAGAGCAAAGCAGACTTAGTAATAAAGAAGATTTTTTTCCTTTTAAAATTACACCAAAAACTTTCTGTACAAAAAAATGATCCAAGAATGCCTCAACACCTCAAACTTTTTATTTATTTATTCAGTGCCCTGGCCAAACTTGGCTAATGTAGCTAAAACAAAACCAGTTACAATGCTTTTTCTTGGTAAATAATTCTTGTTTAGGATATAACTACTTTTTAAAGCAAACTTTATTGATCCACAAGGGAAATTATTTGGACACAGCAGCTCATACATCACAATATATTATAATAACAAAGAGAAAAATATAAATAGTAGTGATCAATTCTAAATAAGCAGCAAAAATATCAAGAGGCCGGTGTCAAATAATGCAGAATGATATAAATGTATATGTACAATAAAAATAAAATATAGAAATATAGTAAGGACATAGGGTTATCTGTTACATAAGGCTGAGTTCTTGTACAGTTGTAGGGAGTATTATCTGTTACATAAGGGTGAGTTGTTGTACAGTTGCATGGGGTGTGTTATGAATGTAGTCTTGTATCTCTTGCTGTAGGAGCCTGTTGAAGAATGAGCTCCTCTGTCCCTTTACTACTATATTCAAATTTCTTTCTCCTTTTTTCATAGCTTACCATGTGCCTTTACTCTAACCCCCTCCTTATTCAGACCCTCTCCTCCTCACTCCCACTAAACATTACCAGATTGGCACTTTCTATTACAGTTAATGACGCGTGACCCATGCCGCTCATGTGAGACTGTGTTCTGCTTTAGCTATTCACATCTGTAGGCGAGAAACTACATCTAAGACCATGAAGACGATGACCCCTCTCAACCTCTATTAGAGTGTAAACAAACCCCACATACTTTAACCACATGTAGCAGATATAACATTTTATCCACTGACCTCTCTAATGCCTGGGCTCTCCACATGTGGGACGCAGAGAGGGAAGAATTGGGCTGCAACAAATAAACTAGACAAATTGTATCAATGATTAAATGCATGACAAATTTCTCTGTAATCCAGGGGAGGATCAGAGAAGGAGAGAATTGATATAGTGAAACGTTAAATCAGGCAGTATGCACGATTGTTTTATTTATTCAAACCATAGATAAGAGATAATCAGTGACTAATCCAGAACCAAACCTAAACTAAACTAGGTTGTTTAATCATGGTATGGCAAATGGTCACATTTTATACAGCGCTTTTCCACCTTCACGGCACTCAAAGCGCTATACATCAATGAATCACTCAAACATTCACAGACACATTCATAAGCAGTGTGTACGCAGACACAGGGAGCAAGGTGGGTTGTGTCCTGCCCAAGGACCCAATGACAGTATTCACACAACAGTATTCATTTTATTGCACAGCTGTTGCTTTGAAACCACAGTGGCACTTACTAACTAACCAGCATTATTATAATTCTATTCCTTGTGATAAAATGTTGATGTTGCAATAACTACATTATATACATTATATTGATACTTTGCAGTGACATCACCCTGGGGGTCTTCTACATGTATGTGTATTGGCGAAATGTTCATCTAGACATCAAGACTAGCTAGCTTGTGACTGTAATGTTATTTGAGAAAAACTTGTTTAACAGTACAAATCATCCCACCTGTTGCAGTTCTATAGGCCGTTCTTTCCGGTCAGACTGTGTTAAATTATAGTTCAGATTAAAGTCTTATAAAGTTTCAGACAGAGCAGTGCCTACAGTTATCATGACAGCCCCAGGGAACGCTGAAGGCATCATCTGCAAACTATCAATACTGCGTCGCCTTAGAAACAAACCACCAACACTCGAGCTGTGTGCCTGCCTGTATATCTGCAGTAGTGATCGGCAGTGCTTTCTACTCTTTGTCTCCGAGCCATTTGGATGTTTTTCTGTGTAAGGAGGGAACGGCATGCGCTGCGCCCTGGGCCTCTGCCTCCCTGCTGCGCTAAAATGAGACAACCTGCTCATTTCAAACGAAGACATGGAGCAAATTTGATAAATGTGTTTTGACGTGGGTGTTTATCTGTTTGTGTGAGTGCTACAGTGCGGGGGATGGGATGGTGTTTCTTTATGCAGTAGATCAGCCTGGCCGCCATTCTCCTCTTAATTACTGGTGACTATTTGTGACCTCTATTAACATCTTCAGCGTCGCTTAGCTCGCGGACGCTTAAGCTCTAATTCCAGCAGGAAAAACCAAATGACTTTGCATAAGTAGAGGCTTCTTTACCTGTGTGTGCGTGACGCTGTGCCATCATTAGAAATGGAAATGAGTGACTCCCTCGCCCCCTAAACTCATTGTTAGGTAATTGTGTCTGTGTGTTAGCGCTACCACTCACTGATTCAGGAGTGACTCTTTAGATTAAAGGCATGAATAGCACAGACCAATTGGTCCCGTTATTAAGCTTTTCCTCCTTATCCTTCTCCCAGTTAATGCTGTTTGCAGGTTTATTACTCCTCTTTGAATAAAATGCAATATGCGACTTCACTGAATGTTTTGGTGTTTGGATTGTATAAGCAGAGCTACAGTCAAAGTCAAAACAAATCCATAAATAAGAGTGAGCTAAAAGTGCGAATAAAACAGGAATAATTGTTATGAAGCATGGCTAGACCAGGATCATAAATAATGTGTAAAACCCATCTCTGTGATCATGGTTTCAAATAAAGATGGATATTGTTGATGTTGAAATTTGTGGTATTTTAAAATGCGCTTCTCTCCACAAATGTAGATCGTGCCCTCCCAAACCACAGTGCCTGCCATTTAATTAAGCTGCCTAACTTTTATATTTACTGCTCACTTTTTTCTCCTCTGTTGCATTTTAATGTTATGTAGAATTTATGTACTTTTCTAGTTTATTTATCATCTGTCTCTCAAACTGCTTTCATCCTTCAGGCTTTACCAGATAACGGTGTAACCAGATAACAATGTAATCTAAAATCCATTCATTTCATTTTCTGCCTATGAAACACTGCTTGCCTCAGGTGAATGCCAATTTATTTCCATTTAGCTCAGTATATAATAATTACCATCTTACAAGGAACTAATTATCATTTTATCACACAGTTCACTGAAAACATGTGATTAGGTTGCAATAATGCCACTGATTTTGCCTCTATTCACCACTTAAATGCTTTCATTGGCCTTTTAAATCCCAAAATGTGTCAGATTCGATTTGCACCATGTGTCTCACATCACTGATTCATTTAGCAGCCCCTCTATTCATTCAAAATGTTTGGCAATGACAAAAATCATATTGAATTGTCAACGCTGCTGCCAAGGCATTCAAGCAACCTGGTCGTTTTGCAAAGTGCTTTGGCTCTTTGTGTGGTCAACCACAGAGCCCTTTTATTCACCTCCAAACTCAAATGGAGGAATCAAGATCAGAACCAGAGTATTTAAAAGTAATAGCCTGATTTCATACAGTTATTATAATATTCCAATATTTAATGTAATTGCTTTTGAGTCAAATTTCTTTGTTGTCTTGATTTAGTCCCATTTATTCCTTCCTCGTCAAGACCTTGGTTTGTGCTTGTTATGTCCTGCGTGCTCATTTAGTCCGGTTTAGTTCAATAGCTCGGAGGCATAGAATCTCATCTGAAGGTTTGTTATTCAAGCTTCTCTGTTTTGATTGATTGGATCCTGGTTCCGCTCTGCTTTTATTTGTACTAGTAATCCTTATTTTAGCCAGTGCTTTGGATATAAATAGGTCATGATCCACTGTAGTCCATTAAAAGTACTATTTGTTAAGACAAAATGTTCTGTATCAAAATCAATGTATTCGAACAGTGTATTTATCTCCTAAACAATTTACTAGACAAATGACCAGCTCCATAAATCTTCATTTGTTTCTCCAGATTGCCTGTGCTGTCTTTGCCGCCCTGCTGCACTTCTTCTTCCTGGCAGCCTTCACCTGGATGTTCCTGGAAGGCGTTCAGCTCTACATCATGCTGGTGGAGGTGTTTGAGAGCGAGCACTCCAGGACTAAGTACTTCTACCTGGCAGGTTACGGCGTGCCCGCCATCATCGTGGCTGTGTCGGCAGCAGTGGACTACCGCAGCTATGGCACGGACCGAGTGTAAGCAGCTCATGGGGCTCGGGGAGAGGCACAGGAAGCATGTATGCACAACACATTTGCCAGGGAGGGTTTTTAGGCCAGTCCCTACTGTTATTTTGGCTGTGGGACTTCTCGAGCTGAAGAGTCAGTACACAGAAGGAAATGCAGGGGGGGTGTTCACTGCATGAATATGACAATGTGTGAATATAGAGGGCTTTCACAGGGACAGACAAGGATGTGGATGTGGGAAAAATATTCATTCTGTCTGTTACTTCAGTGCTAAAGTATTATTATTATTAAATATTAAATATATTATTATTATTATTAAATAGAAATATACAGAATAATTAAGGGTGGGATGAAACACGAGATTAGGTAATCAAGACAAGGAGAGATTTTGAAATAATTTATAATAAAATAATTGTTTGATCCTATTTGCAGTTTTGAATTTGCATTTTTAGCATTTCATATGTTTTGTTGTAGTTGAAGAAATACTTTTTGGAACAACAATTTCTCAAGAGATTCCAGTCTAGATGTAAACTAAATGGAAAAAAAATCTGACAACATAATTTTTCTCTTGTGTGCCCAGTCTTGTGACAATTTTATTTTACAAGATCTTGTCCCATCCCTACTAATAATAGCTAAGCAACTCAAAAAACTGAATCTTTGAACATTTTATTGGGTGCTGTAGTACTTTATATCTGACAGTAGATAACTAAATTCATTTGAAAATCAGTATACCTGGACCCCATAAATATAAGTAATCATATTGCACCTACTAGCTAAAACCTGGAATCATTTTCTATCTGAATCTTGTATTGTTCCATATCTTTCCGCAGTGGGGAGTGATAGAGGAGCGTGCAGGGTTTCTATATATGTACACATCCAGGCTCGTTATGTATTTAAAAAGGTGGCTTGGCTTACCTGCCTGGAGAGTAGTCACGTAAAAGATAAGAACACGCATTAAGAGTGTATTGTAATTATTCATACCCCTCTTTCTTGCCACTTACAAACGCACACTCTCACTCAGTGTACTGTCTGCCCTTTGACTGATAAACACTTTTATCCAGTGAGCACATATGAATATTAGATACACATAATACACTTATATATGTCCGTGACCTGTCCTTTCTTTAGTGACAGTGAAATTGTGTGGGTTAAAGAGGATGTTGGATTTGCTTATAAATGACTGATCCCACCAATAGAGAATGGTATAGTACCCTTAAATGATTCAGATGCGCTCCCATTCTTAGCTGCTCCCAAGGCCATTGTAGCCACACTTGAGAACTCATCGCTCTTCACTATCCACACAGCAGTCCATAGATAAAAAGGCTCTGATTTAAGAGTGTTTAAACGTCAGACCACACCAATCCGTATGCCACTTAGATCAATATTTCATTGTGGGGGCAATCTTTAAAACATGAGAGCCCAAGTTAGAGATGAATAATCCAGACCGCATAGCATTAGATCACTGGAAATTTCTTGGTGACAATAACTACAGTACTATGCCAAGTTTTGTAGTGAGTACTAGGCATGTCATGATAATTACTATATTGACTTCAATATATGAAAGCTGGAACTTTTTTTTTTTTGCAGTACTGGGAATTTTTTGGGGGTATATGAGAAGATTTAAGCCATAAAAGGTTGAATTAAAGGGCCCATATTATGCTGATCTGTGTTATAATGTTTCCTCAGCAAAAACATACCTGGAGTTGAGTTGCGTTTTGTTTCATTCACACATGTTTAACACACAAATCCTATATATTTAAGCTGAGTTCTCCTCTCAAACACTGTTCTTTCGCTAGTGAACTAAAAGTATAAAAGCAACATATCATGACATCACAAGGTAGAAGCTTTGAAGATGTAGAGAGACTAATAATAAAGTATTACTCAAACATGTGTGACTGAAAAAAAGCCAACTGCAGGTATGTTTCTGATGAGGTAATAACAGTATAACATTACCTAAAGCTCACAAGAGTCAATTAATACCAGGTCTGTGCATGCTGTCCATATGGGTCAGTGAGGGGTTTGGCTACTCAATCTCAGGTACATCACAGGGCTTTGAGAGAATAGAAGTAGAATCTGTATAAATTAGAATAGGACAGTGCCTTGGTACTATATCATTCATAATCTAGTCTGCAGAATGGCTTTGCATATGATATTTGACATAATATTGCAACTAAACCCTTTGAAAATATCATGGTCCTCCCCTGCAGTGTCACCTTGTCACATAAGCCACCTTCAGTCTCCCTGCATTAGCCAGTGGCACTGGCTCTCATTCATGTCCCTATAATGAACGCTGCTATGACTTAGCACAGGAGCCCTAATGGGGGATAGTGTGACACAGCCAGGGACCCATAATGGAGGGCTCTCTAATGTGCTGGAAATTGAAAGATTAATAATTCAAAAGCAACTGGTCATGAATCAGGCGGCCATTTTGCCCCAGTATATTTTTTTGTTTGGCACCTTTCTCTACAACCTATTGGGTCTGACCTCCATCAGAGGGCATACCAGAGTCTTTTTGCATTCTCACTTCCTAAAGTGGATGAAGAAAGACTTTTGGGGTAATGTAATTCAGCATAGTGCACCATATCCTCTGCAGCCTTGTCACAAACTGTATATGGATTGGCCCAAATGTGTCCTCATGAATGTGAAAGGCCGACCCTCCCACACATTTGCATTTGTTAAGTATCTTTAGCAAATCAACAAGTGAATAATTACTTTCACTTTGATTCTTTACAATATAGACACAGTAGACTTTTACGAATTAATAGTTTGAAGAGAAACCATCTTTGAAGTAAAATTTTAAGGTTGAATCCATTTTATTGTAATATAACCTTGCTATCTTTAAAGGGCCTGTATTGTGATATTTTCTGATCTACATTAATATGTTGTTTGCACATACCCAGAGTTGTCTTTGTTTCATTCACACATGTTTATCACAGAAATCCTGCATATTTAGGTTTTTCCCTCATACAAAATACGCTTTCTTCCATCTAGTGATGTCACGTAGTAATATAGTTAGTGCTCAACTGTGTTTTTAAACTTTATACACCTTCACTAGAATCATTTGGACAATTTCAGCTGTGGAATTCCCAATCTCCATTGAACAAAAGGTAAAAAGCAGCTGTTATTCTGAAAACTACAGCTTCATGACATAACAAGGTGGAACAGAGCATTATGAGCTTTGGAGAGTTAGACAGACTATTGAAAAAGGGTGATAGATGGATGAAACAAAACATAACTCCAGGTACATAACAACATTCTAACATGGCTTAAGGCTCACAAGAGTCCATTTTACGTAATATATGACCTTTATGTTTTTGCTGTAAACTGATATACCTTTTTAAAAATATCACTTTTGCATAGTGCAGCAGTATAACTCACCTTCGAGAGCATATCCTGGCTAACCTTGTCACAAACTGTATATATTATGTGTCCTCATGCATGTGAAACATCCATCCATGTCTTTAGTATGCGCTGGACTTAGTGGGTTATCCTAGCTGGTGTGTTGACAGTGTGTCTCTCCACTGACCTTTGACCTCTCCAGACTTCATAAATAGCCCACGTGTGACAACTGCATCCATAAGTCAGTATTCAAATGCACACACTCATGTCATATTTCTAGGCCCTAAGGGGGAAGAGCTGCTGAATCTATCATTGATGTTCATCCATGGCTGTCCAATTCCACACGTGTGATGTATGCCTGTGGTCCAGTCCTCCTTTACCTTTAGTCATTCTTGTCACTTTCACATGTGCCCAACTTCCGCCACTCTCCGTGTCTCCGTGCTTTTGATAAAGCATATGCCGAGTTCTATTTTTTTCCTTCAATGGGTTTCAGTGTGCATAATAAATTCAAGCTGTTCTATATCAAGCTCAGGACAGGAGCACAATGTGAATTCATTTGCGCATGTGCTGCTATACATCAAAGGGTCCACACTATTTTCTTGTTATATAATGTTGTTTCCTCACCAAAACCATGCCTGAAGTTGTGTTTTGTCTTAGTCACACATGTTTAACTCACAAACCCTGCATAATTAGGTTGAGTTTTTCTATCAAACAGAAAACACTCTGTTGGTCCTTGTGATGTCATCTTGTTTTCAGACCCAACTGTGTTTTTAAACTCTACACCTTCAACAGAATCATTTGGATGGTTTCAGACCTGGAATTACCAGTCTCTACTCATCTAAAGGTGAGGGTTAGTTGGTAGTTAACTTGAAAACTACCACTGAATGACATCACAAATTGGAACGGAACATTTTGAGCTTTGGAAATATACATCCTAATAATAAAAGGTTACTCAAACATGTGTGAATGAAACACACAACTCCAGTTATGTTTTTGATGAGGTAACAAAAATCTCACATGTCTGTTTTTTTTTCCTTGATTTTTCCTTAGTTCCAAGTTTCCCTTTCCCTAAATGGAGTATATTAATCAGCAACTCTAAGCGTAGGATTGTTCTAAGCACTAATAACTTGTTAGGTGGTTTTAAATTCCTACTTCCTCCAATGGCTGTTTAAAAATGAGGTAATGGAGATATTTCCAAACCATTGTATTGTTTCACCAGTGTCAGAACTTCATCTTTTTAAATGATGGTGAATATTTTTTCTTTGTCTTTCTTTCTAGGTGCTGGCTACGATTAGATACATATTTCATCTGGAGCTTTATAGGGCCTGCTACACTCATCATTATGGTAAGACACAAACACCAAGTGCACTATACATTTTACAATTGCATGCATTTGAAGAAAAAAAATCCTCTTATGGATTTACTTTCATTTTTATTTAACAAGCTGAAAATCCTTTTGAAAGCATTCTAGGCAGACACTGGAGTGAATATGACAGGGTGTTAGGAAAATATTGGCACCTTATTGATGTGCTGTTCCATTTCAAGCAAACACTATGAGACTAGTAAATGACAGTCACTTTCTGTTATGACTATTATTTACCACAGAGTAACAGAGAAATCAATGACGAATGGTGAGGGGCAAGTATAAACCAGGCACTCACGCACGTATTAAAAATATCGAAACAAAGCTATAATAAAAAGAGTGTTTGCCAAAAAATGGGTCCAATTAGGTGAATGTCAACGCTGATGCTCTGGTCTCATTCTCTAGAAATGTCAGGCGGGCTATCACTGATCTAACTGGCTCTTTTAGTAATATCAATGCATTTGTGGCCACAATGTTCCTCCACCTATTGGCACTGGCAACACAGTAGTTCAGACCATTATGTCTTTTGTCTGTGTGTGTGTGTGTGAAGGCCAGTTGAAAAGACCACATCTGCAAGAATTGGATTTCTACTGAGCCAATGATTCTCTATGGGCTTAATGACTACTATGTTTTCCCCTTGAAGCTAGAGCTAGAGTATATCGTGCACATAAAGACAGTTGGTGATTGCCGACTGATACAGTGCCCCCTAGCCAATTGCTAAGGGAGGAAAATGAAATGATATGCAATATGTGTGTGAGAGTGAGTTGCCGCTGTGACATTGTCTTTAATTAGGCAGTGATGGCAGCAGTGTATTAACTTGAGATGTGTCGTGTGTGTTGCAGCTTAATGTAATCTTCCTGGGCATAGCTCTTTATAAGATGTTCCACCATACAGCTATCCTCAAACCGGATTCGGGATGTCTGGATAATATCAAGTAAGCACTCTTTATTTTGTCCTTGTGAGGGAAAAAAATATTAAATTTGACGACAAATGTGGCCATGCACGCTTATGATTATGTCCTTGTTTTTGTCATATAAAATCATTTCACCTCTGCTTGACATTTCATCACATTATTATTCCCAGTCATGTTACCATTACTCGTACACGCCTCGGAGAATGAAATCTGGCTTCATTTATTCTGTGCACTAAATCTCCCAAATATCTAACAAGCTTGCTAATCAGAAGTTACTTTTTTGCTCTGCCAATATCAAAAGAGTGTGGCTAATTTCAATAATTTACTCAATGCCCTTTTTCACATGCAACTTAAAATGCATGAATTTGAACTTCGGATTTATCATTTAGATATTGTCGTCATGCATTTTTCAATAAAGTTACAAGAAGGAAGTTCAAGACAAAACCAAGTCTATGCTTTGGCGCAGTTAACAACGCATTAAAATGGATAATTAAGTTCAAAAATCAAAAGGCAAATTAGGACCATGATGCTTTGGAATTCTCTTTCTTAGCTGCTCAAAAGATTGTAATCTATTTTCCATTCATTAGTCGACTCTTTTTTGTGTTTCATTTACTTGTTAATCATCATTATGTCCTTTTGTGTTTTTCTTTTCTTTCCTGTCCCCATCTCCATCTGCCATCATGGTTGTCTTTTTTGTGGATTTGGCTGTGGTAAGGCCTCTTCCCACTTTTGCTTTCTGTCTTTCCCAGAAATCATTCCCTATGCACCCCACCACACCCCTCCTTAAATGAGCCCAGATTGTCTCCATACTACAACCACTCTGTTCAACACATTACATTTGTGATGTGTGTGAGCTCCCGTGACCTATAGAACTAATGCGCTATTGAAATATAATGGCGAGATGTGAATGAGGGGAGAGAGGGAGAGAAGTTGACTCTGGGGAGCACTGGAGGGAAGAGGTGAAATGGCTAGATTGTGAGGAGTGGAATGGAGTGTGCACCCTTTATAGAAGAAGGGGTCGTCAGTGCGAGCTTTATTGGAGGTTCTGTCTCGCCGGAATGGTGCCACGGAGGCCAACATCAAATCAATCACTGCAGTCTCACTTGGTTCACTTCTCCCTAAGTTTTTTCTCCCCCCATGTGTGTGTCTCAGTATCTCTATTCCTCAAAGGTGATCACTTCCCAGTCAGCCGATAGCGCTAGTCATGTCCAACCACAAACTGTGACCTTTACTGCTGAAATGTCACCCCTAATGGCTGTAATGTCCGACTACTTACTGCCGAGAGAAGCCACAGATATTCAGTCTAGACCAGGCAGCCACGACATTTGCCCCTTATAAGGACCTCAGCAGGGGCTTTATTTAAAAATCTAGGCTTTAAAAACTTATTAAATCTGCCTCTACGGTTATAGTAAGAATGACACTAGCAGACTTCATTTCAGGCTGGGAAAATATTCTCTGGAAAGAAACTGTTGACTTTCACTATATTACTCAATGACATAAGCCAACTTATAACCTCTCCCTCTTCCTATAAAATGCAGTTCTTTTTAGACAGGAACTCCTGCTGTTTTCTCCATTCCCCTCCCGCCGCGACAGGACTCCGAGTGAACCCTTGCTAACGCCTTTCCTATGTTTTATGGTCCCACATGCATCATACATGTCTGACAGCCACTCAGCGCTAAATGAAAATGCTCTGCCCTTCTACAGGTCCTGGGTCATTGGGGCCATAGCGCTGCTGTGTCTGCTGGGCCTCACCTGGGCTTTTGGCCTCATGTACATCAATGAGAGCACTGTTATTATGGCATACCTCTTCACCATCTTCAACTCGCTGCAGGGCATGTTCATCTTCATCTTCCACTGTATACTGCAAAAGAAGGTGAGACACTCTTAGTATTTAGAAAACACCACCACTAATTTAGGTTAAAAAAAAAAAGCATTTTGACAGCACACATGGGAGTAAATATATAGCTAATGTGGTTGTTTTTTGTTAAAGACAATCTGCTCAAGTTAAGTCAAAATGCTCTCACGCCCATGCAGAATTTCAATTTTTCTATTAAAGGTTTTCTCTCTTTCCAATGTTAGTATTAATATTACAGCATTTGGTATAGACCGTGTGTATCACTTGCTTCATTTGAAATATGGTTTGCAGAAGGAGCCTACACATTGAGGATATTTTTACAGAGTCTCCCACACACTGTCAGTGCTCGGGAGAACAGAAGAGGAGTATGATGTGAAAGGAAAGAGCGGTTAATACTTTTGTCTGGCTACAGTCCCGCGGAGAGTCTTTCACTTTTAAAGGTTTGACCAGTGAACAAGTGCAGTGTGTATCTGTGCTTGAGCCTGTGCACTGCACTTAGGTATGTGAAAGGCCCAGGGATCAGGTATCTCGAGACATGTCCTACGAACACTGCTGAGGTTTTCTCTGGCGCCGGCCCAAAGTGCTTTCTCCCAAGAAGCATGGAACAACTCAGCACGCAGCTGTGCAAACAGAGCATGTGGCAACACACGCCTGCCAGTCCAACAGCCTTGTTAAAAGCCAATTACGCTCCTATTTGCTCTAACTGGATTGTGATCTAAATGCAGATGTTCTTTGTGTACAAGTGCATCATATGTCTCTCGGAGGACTAGGTCCATTTCAGATCAATATGGCTGTAATAACATTTGGGTTGATAGGGATACGGAGTTCATCTTTTCATGTGTGTTTTAGAACTTTCATGTTTGTTTGAGGAATTTCATAGAAGCATAATAAAACATCTAAGATGAGATTGGTTTTAATCACAGAGCACACCGTGTGAAGAATATGTCCCCATTAAAGGAAGTAGAACACCTTCTGGTTACGCACACCTGTGAGTGTCATTCTGCTCACCTGTGTGCCACTTTCTCTCCACAGGTGCGGAAAGAGTACGGCAAATGTCTGCGTACTCACTGCTGCAGTGGTAAAAGTGTGGAGACTTCCATCTCCTCCTCCAGTAAGACCACCACGTCTCGGACCCCAGGCCGCTACTCCACAGGCTCTCAGGTGAGCTTACCTGCCTGCACACCTGGACGCTACAGCACAGCAGACTCCCAGGTGAGACCAGTGCTCCAACAGGGGCCTCGCTTATCACCAGTCACTTTCAAGTACAATCCATCAAAGCAGAGAGTTTGATACAGGGTACTTCACATTTATACCAGATGCAAAATACATGAATGCTGATGTTGAATCCCCTTCCAGCGCTAGCTTCAGTGCATTTCTTTATGCATTTGACAAAAATAATGTGCAGTTAAAATATGCTGATGGATTGTGTTAAAGTGTGATAACCGAAGCCTAAACTAAAGCTCCATATATTGATACTGTCATATTTTTACATACAAAACAATTGGAACTAATGGACCATTACTTCTCCCACCTGTTACTCCCCTGCCACATTTATTACCTCTCCTACACTGAACTGCCCTCTTCACACAACCTACTTTTGCTCACCATATTTTCCCTTTTTGTTGTCTTTCCCTCTCCTTACCTTCACTCCTTCCACTTCCACTGCTTCTTTGTGTCCTCTTCTCATCTCCGCACAGAGTCGAATTCGGCGCATGTGGAATGACACTGTGAGGAAACAGGAGTCTTCCTTCATCACTGGAGACATCAACAGCTCAGCTACTCTCAACAGAGGTAACTGCGGGATACCTACCATTTGCATGCCCATCGCTGTCACTGTATGTACTTTATTATCAGCAGGAGGGCCTCAAAGCATATGCTGTCATTTAGAGGAGGGGTTGGAGCCCAAACTTCTGTTGATAGCCCTGTGTTCTTCCACTTGAGACAGGATTAGCAAAGTGAATTGTTAGCCGCTGTCAGAACTCTTTCTTGTAGAGGTAGGAGCAGGTTTTGTATGTATAGGTTCAGCTTTTTTCTATTAAAGCTCCTCTATTATGTGAAATTGACCCTTGTTGAGCTTTCAGCCATGTTAGATTGTTGTTTCCTCCTCAAAAATATACTTTGAGTTTTACATTACAATATGTTTCTGATCTCAGTTTTAATGTTGTTTCCTGCTCACAAACATTATGGGAGATTTGTTTTGCTTCATTCACACAAACACACAAAACCTGCATATTTAGGCAGAGTTCTTCTCTGAAACAGAAAACACTCTGTTCCACTTTGTGATGTCAAATCTCTACTGAACAATCTTTGTGTCTTTTCAATGTCTTTGAGTGTCCAGAAAAGTGCTGTATAAAACTGATGCATGATTGTTATTATTATTAACTAAATTAAAATGTAGCTGTTAACTTGAAAACTACCACTTCATGATATCACAAGGTGGAACAGAGCATTTTGAGCTTTGGAGATGTAGTAGACTGATGTAGCAGACTAATAATGCAGGGTTACTTATAGATGTGTGAATGAAATAAAACACAACTCCTATTTTCTTGATGAAGAAACAACATTTTAACATGGGTTAAAGCTCACAAGAGTCAATTTTGCATAATATATAGGACCTTTGCCAAGTGTCATTAGGTCATCTTATTCTTTTTCAAATATAATAATCACATTTGACCCCATAAACCCTATTGCAATAACCACAGTGACTTTACAACTTACTGTTACTTTCCATTCATTGGACCCTTCAAAGGACTTTACTGTATGACTGGCCAATTCCTTCAGTGTAAATAATGCAAATTTACTGCCAGCTTTAATAACCTTCTCCCAGACTTTAAAGCCCTTTCACCACACTATAACAAATACATAGGTAAGCACATGAGACACGTCCGGCTTAGCTTCTTCCACCCCATATATGTAGGCCGCTGTTAGCAGCCCCTATTACGCCATTTTCTGATTTATGTTACAATGTTGTTTCCTCATCATTTAACAGGCAAATCCTGCATATTTAGGCATATTTAGTTCTTTTCTCAAACAGTAAACACTCTGTTCCACCTTGTGATGTCATGTTGTAATATATGAAGTGCTTCATTCTCTTTTTAAATTCTATACACCTTCACTAGGATCATTTGATCTCTACTGACCTAAATATAAAAGGTAACGGTTAACATGAAAACTATTGGTCCAGTACATCACAAGGTGGATCAGAGCATTTAGAGCTTTGGAAATGTAAGAAGGCTAATAGTAAAAGATCACTCAAACATGTGTGAAGGAATGAGGTAACAACATTGTAACACAGTTGTTACTCACAAGAGTCACTGTTGTGCAATATAGGACCTTTAAATGGGTATTATGTTTTATGTATATTTCCTGTGTATTCCTTGGTTATTTCTGTTGCTGTTATGGTCAGTGAGAATGGATTGAACGAGCGTGGCCGGTGCTGGGGTAATGAGGACGAAGAGACAGAGCAAATGCCTAAACATTGTGACACATACACACGCTTACTTTGCCATTTGTTAGTCTCCGCATAGAGGTGTGGCCCCTGTTTCCTCCAGGCCACTAATAAGCTGTTAGCATGACAGATTGATGCTAAAGCTACGTTGTGTGTGTCAGCAGCAGAATTATCACACACTTAAGAGAGGCAGGCTAAAGAGACCCCCCCACCACACACACACACACACACACACACACACACATCTAGGACTCTCTCTCTCTTTCTCCTTTGAAAGTAAGGCATCACTTAGCTCGGAGATTTCAAATCACTATGTTACTGGAGCTTTCATGGATGGGAAGGACTGAATTGGATATCCTGATAGGAGATTGACTTGTTGAAATGATGGGAGCGGGCTTAATTTAGAGCTGCTTCGGAAGGCAGTTGGAAATAATCTGCGTCCATTTTACACAGCATATTTATAATGTCACTTACAGTTTACTACCCTACTGTCTAGGCGTTTAGTGCTCTTCTACATTTACTCCTGCCATTTAAATTTATTACATTTATTAAGTGCTACTCCCTGAAACACTGTGGTCTGGCTCTGTTTTTGCAACAGGTATTTTGTAGTTACATACAAAGATATCATTTATAGAACATGGCAACGTCAACTGATTTACTCGTGATCCAGCAAAAATATAAATATAAAACAAAGCAGATTTACATAGGGTTGTATTTATTATAGAGTTCAACACTCCCTTCCATTTTTTCCAGAAGCAAAATTCCTATTCTCCATTTTTCCATAGACTTTCTTGGAAAAATGTATAGGCTAATTATAAATGCTGTATTTATGTACAATAGGACACATAATCCTTTTTTTTTCTGAAACTTTATAAACCGCAAAGATATAAGAACATGTAGCTGAATCGTAGGTCTAACATATGTTTTTGCACTTAAATGATTGCATCATACTATAGCTGGTTAGCCTCCAATTTTCTCCAATTTCTAGAACTGCTGCGGTCTTAGAATCGGGCAGGGCTGTTGAGCTCCATTAACATCATGGGTGGGCAGAATAAATTGTACATTTCTACAGTATTTTTTGTGTTTTATTATTCTAATTTCCTCTCTTATCCAAATCTAAATATAATAAATTATACTTGTAAGAGAACATTGGCTGTACACTTAAATTGTAGGTAAGACAAGGCAAGTGTATTTGTATAGCACAATTTGAACACAATGTAATTCAAAGTGCTTTACAGAATAAGAAAGACATTAAAATCACAATACAAACAAATGAAAACATAAATAGTTATCATAAAATTAACATTGAAGATGAAGAGTGCAGGATAAAAACCTTTCAGAACTGTTTTGAGCCTGGATTTAAACATTGTCAAAGTAGAGGCCTGTTGCACATGTTGTAGGTTTTAGCTGCATAAAACGGAAAGTATTCCATTTAAAAATACATAGAGTCACCAGCCTTTGTTAGTTTTCTGTAGGTATTAAAAATGCAATGTCATGGAAATGTGACTTTATTTCCCATTCTCCAAACATATGGTTCCAAAAGGTTACACAGTCAATCAATTATGTGCACTCCTACTACATTAATAGCATTATATAGAAGTAACAATCCTCTGTGATGCTCCAGTCCCCCAACAGCCAGGGCTCCCTCACTCAGCCAGACACATTCCCAGATCTTTTGTCCATTAAGTCTGCTGTAGTCACGCTTCCCTGCTCAAGCGTTTATTGAGGGCGCAGCACTCACACCTCTCCGTGTCTCCGTCCAGCCTGTGTACGTGTCCGGCTGCCAGAATGACTTGTCCAGTCGCTTTTCACCTCAGACTTTTTTGCGTTTTTATTTTTTTTTTTTGCCTGTTTGATTTACCTGTGCTCTTCTCTCCCTCTTTCTTCCACACACTCACGTCCCATCCACTTCTTCACTGCCACATCTGCATACTGTCTCCCCTTCTCTTCTCCACTCGTCTGTTTCTGTCCTCTCTCTCTTCTCTCTCTCTATCTGCCTGTACCAGGAGCCATGGCTAATCATCTTATAACTAATGCTCTCCTTCGTCCCCATGGTACTAACAATCCTTATAACACGCTACTGGGGGATTCTGCAGTCTATAACAACCCGGCCGTGGGCATGTACAACACTCAAGGTCTGCCTCATCTTTCTCTTTTTAGAAATAATAAAGCGCTTTTACATGTATTTGCTGCATGCTTGCCTGCCTTATAGCCAAAATATAACTGTGGTGCATTCGCGAGTAATATCTGGTATCAATGTGGCTCCCAAGGGACTCCCATCCATCATATTGTCTTTCACAAAGGACACCCAGTGGGCAGCTTCTACACCGCATAAAAATCTCCTCAAACACTGCCAGCTCGGAGAGTGGAGTGTAGATATTTATCTAATAGCAGGGACAGTTTATTGTCTCTCTAAATTTGAAATGGAGCTGTGTATTAGTCTGGAAAGTTTTGAAATCTGATACATTCAGAGCTAAACTGATACATTCTTTTACTTGCTTCTTTTAATTGTGGATGTATTTTCTATATGTTTATGGGCTATATGTCAATGGTCCAAATTACACTGTTTTTAAAAATAATATAGAAACTTAAAGGGCCTATATTATGCCATTTTCGGATCTATGCTATAATGCTGTTTTCTCATCAAAAACATACCTGGAGTTGCATTTTTTTCATTCTTGCATGTTTAACAAACACACACCCTGCATGGTAATGGGAGTTTTGCTCTCAGACTGAAAACACTCTGTTCCACTTTGTGATGTCATGTGATAAACTCCATACACCTTCTCTAGAATTATTTGGATAATTTCAGCCCTGGAATTTCTGATCTCTACAAAGCAAAAGGTAAAAAGTATCTGTTAACTAGAAAACTACCACTGCATGACCTCACAATGTGGAACAGAGCATTTTGAGCTTTAGAGATGTAGACAGATTAATAATAGGATTACTCAAACATGTGTGAACTAAAAAAAACACAACTCTGTTTTTGATGAGATAATCACATTCTAACATGGCTAAAGCTCAATTTTACGTAATATCGAACCTTTACATTGAATTCATTGTCATATCTGATATTTCTTTTACAAAGAAATTGACAATAACCCATAAATATAAATAATATACTATAGAAATCCACCTTGTTAGATTGACAGAGAAATGTACTCCAAATCTTTCAAAAGTCACTTGGGAGTCATGCATATTTTTAGTTGAAATGCCCTTCATATGAGTATGTCCTTGTATTGTACATCTAGCTGTTTCTTTGGATGTGCTAGCTGAATGTGCACTCAAAACTGTGTAATTTTGCAAATTTAATTATGCTTTGCTAATTGTGTGGTTGTTTAATCTTGTATGCACTCATGTATCTGTCTTTTCTCTCTCTCCTCCCTCATGCTGTCCATTAGCACCGTACCGAGACACAAGTACGGCTAAATTAATACTCAACTACTTTGACACCATCCACCGTCTTCTCTCTTTGCTAGTTTGAATAGCACTCTGACTGTGATTTTGAGTCCAATTTAAAACAGAGTAGCAGCTTTTGTTTGGCTGTCAGCCACATTAACGCTCTGCCTCAATTCTCCAGTCCATGTAATATTACTGGCTTTTGTTTGTCACTTTTCTGACAAATAAAAGGTTGGAGAGAAATACAGTATTAGTTCAAATGATAGTGTTTTATTTTCTGCATCAGTATGGTTAAAGTAGTATATATAAATATAAAGATAAAGCTAGAGGAATATTACAGTGGTTTGGTAAGATTTTGGACTCAAGTATTGGGGGCTTTATATTTGCCTGGTGTTTTTCCCCATTCTTGCATTCATAAGATTTTACTGTTCCAGCAAACTTCATATTTATAATCCTGGTAGTAAATTGGCAAAATAAATTACATCAGTAGATGCTGTTACATAAATTATGACCCCTTGAAGCCATTTTCTGACTGAAAATTATCATTACAGATTTTTATGCTCAGTTTTCACTATCTAATAATATCATGGGATAATTAAAAATTTCTGACAAATCTACACAATAATTATTAATCTTTGGATCTTTCTCCTTCAGAGGGCATTTTGAACAATGCCAGAGACTCCAGCGTGATGGACACTCTTCCTCTTAATGGTAACCACGCCAACAACTACAGCATGGCCAGCAGCGAGTACCTGAGCGACTGTGTCCAAATCCTGGACCGCAGCGGGGGATACGGTACCCATAGCAACCACAAGGAGACCACTCTAGAGAAGAAGATCCTGAAGGAACTGACCTCCAATTACATCCCATCCTACCTGAACAACCACGAGAGAGCTACCACAGAGCGCAACCACAACCTCATGAACAAGCTGGTCAACAGCAGCATGGCCAATGGAGGTGACTACTCACTGTTACTCACCCACACAGAATACTTATACTATTAACTTTTAGGCCTGTCATGATAATTACTATATCAACTTATCATTCAATTTATGAAAGCTGGAACAATATATTTTGGCATTCAATATTTATCGTGTGCATGTTTTTAATGCAATACTGGGAAGGTTTCTACTATTTTTTTATGTAATGCGGTAAGATTTGAGCTGAAGAGGGATGAAAAAGTAACATTCAGGACTAATTGGTTCTTTTTGTTATATATTTGTTTTAGCTTATGCTATTTAATGATATTGTATTTAAATGGTTTATTATCCTGCTTTGTGTCAGTGGCATAAAGTAGTTTCAAGATTATTGTTTATCACAATATTTCTCCGTAGCGATATATCATGCTTCAAAATTTCTTACTGTGATAAGTATATTAAAGTTCATAATAAAAACAAATAATTGTCATATTATGTAAGAATTGAATATCACTAAAGATTTTTCAGTAATAAACTCATCATCCATGTTAATTTTCTTACTAAAAGAAAGTCGTTTAATCTTAATACTGAGCCTAGCAGGTGTACTAAGCAGTAATTCAGCTTCAAACTGTTTTTCCTCTCTTTTACGAAACCCATTTATTTGGTATTATATTATTAAAATCTCTAAAGACATTGCACGCAACAAAGTGATCATTCAATCATTCGGATGTATTTCTAATCTCCGTTTTTTGATTGTTTGAGCAGGGAGCATGCCAGGCAGTAGTAGCAGCAGCAGCAGCGGCGTCAGTGGGTGCGTGGTCAGCTCCAAAGAAGACCCCGGCCCCATGGTGCTGGACAACCCTGCAGCCTTCCCCCACGAGGAGAACCTGGGCCTGGAGATCATCAGAGAGGAATCCAACGCCCCTCTGCTCCCCCCGCGACCCCCACCCCCGGACAGCCACCCACCTCCACCCCCTCCGCCCCACAGCTTCTCCAGGCCCCGCCGCATGCCCCAGGAGACCAGTGAGAGCTTCTTCCCTTTACTGACCAATGAGCACACAGACGAGCACACGCACTCGCCCAGTCACAGAGACTCTCTTTACACCAGCATGCCCGTGCTCACCGACCTGCCCGACGCGCACATGAACGGGCTGACCGACGGAGAGGACGAGAGTTCGGGGGAGCTTCAGCCTTGTAAGAGCGCCACTGCCCCCGAGCTGGATGACGTCTACTACAAGAGCATGCCTAACTTGGGGTCCAGAAACCACCTCCATGAATTGCAAAGCTACTACCACATGGGCCGTGGTGGCAGCGATGGGTATATGGTATCAGAAAATAAGGACGAGTCGGATTCCTCGCCCGAAGAGCCCCCCGTAGACCCTTCTCACCTGGTTACAAGTCTATAGAGCTGTCCCTAAGACTCCTATCCCTCCCCTTGGACAAAAACTGTTCCCAACTTCTGAATCTGACAGACAGAGCTAGCCCGAGATCGCCAAATATTTGTGACACTTACTTCTGTGGTTGCCGGTAAAAGTGCAAGCAGGAAACTGAATGTATTGTCATGAATGGAGTCAGTGGGCGGATCTATGTAAGACAATTACTTGCAAATGAAAAGGAAATGGGGAGGGATTTTGTAATTTTCTTCACTGTTACTTTACTATGGAATCTTTGGATTGATCGTAGCTCTGCGAATCCCTCAATATGGACCTTCTTTAGCAGATCATAGCATATAGTGTCCAAAACCTGGTTAAAGGACCTGTCCGTCTGTCCGTCTGTCCTCTCTGTAACTCTCAAAGACTTGGATGAAACTTCTCCAAAGGGAAAGAGCAGGTAGTAAACAGTGCACAACATGAACTAGCCACGAAAAGGCGCCGCCCCTTTACCTGCCAATCAAAATGGAGGATGGACTTTGACTTCATATCCTCATCCTGAAATGACTTGGGGGCGAACAAACTGTAAACATATCACTCCGATGTTCTCTCTTCCTGTTTCATATCTGCTAAAATGGAGTTGTGTCTGGGCTGGTGTAACATTCCTGCGACTTGTAGTGACTGCGGCTACTGTGTATTTCAATGAAAAATAAGGAAGATCATATTACAGACTTGATAGAAAAAAATCGGTTACCTTTCCTTTCTTCTGTAAGCATTTTTTCTGTTATCAAAAGGATTATGAAGAAATCACAACTATTTCTATGTATTGTACAGAATACAGATACAAATGTTGCATATGACCAAGTCTTATTTTTTACATATGAGTTTACAAATCTTTTTTTGTCTGTGGAACTGTTCAGAAATGTCTTGATGCTCTGGTGTAGAAGGAGCAAGGAACTACCATATCTCTTAATACTTTTTCATCAATACAAAGACAATGAAGCACTTCTTAATTATAACACATATACCTGACACTCTTCATCCTGGACCTTTTATAGACACACCGCTATCACTCACTTTTGAGATCAATTACTACTATACTTTACCACTGTGTAGTTTTGAAGTTACGGAGCTGGTTACTATGGTGATTCATGAAAGCGTTTACTAGTCTGGAGCCCACAGTAAAATCAGAAATGAATGGAAGAATATACTCTCTTTTGCCAAATACTAATTGACGTTAACTGATGTGCTGGCTGTTACTGTACAGAACAAAAGAGAATCTAAATGTCATTGTTGGAAGAAAGAGAGAAAAGCAGAAGGGAGTTTTGACCCCTGAAATGCCAAGATTACACTGTATATGTGTAGTGAACAAATGTGAAAACCACTGCAGCACTGTCCAATATGGAGATGCCAATGTTTACTTTACGTAGGAGGATCAATTGGTAAAGTGTATGAAGTCTAGCTTGCACATGTATCCCACGAGCCCCCTCCATCATATCCCTGAGAGAGAAATTATTTATTTATCTGTTTATTGGTTTAAAGATGGCAAAACAAGCTTGGGAGGGTAGAGGCTAGTTCTATGTAGGACTAAATAAAAGTGGCACTGGCTTTGTTTTTGGGTTATTTTTTTAAATTATTATGATCATGATTATTACAATATTATGCTAATTATTTATTCTTTTTGTATGGGTTCAAAGTTGAATGATCTCAAAACTAATATTTGTTGTAACAGTGAAAGTTGTTTGCCAACAAATAAATTACTGACATAGCTTTTGCGTTTTTTTGCCTCTTGAGTCTCGTCAGTCGATGTTGAGTACAAGCAAAAAGTGTTTTCATTACCAGCACCACGAGTCATTTAGGGAATTTGTAAACATAACATTTAGAAATAAGATCCAGACATGCGATGTGAGTTCAGTATAATTTGTTTTAGAAATGTCTTTTGAGAGGAAATGAGTATCTGGTAAAACATATTCATTATGAGTCTAAAGGGGTCACTGTTGATGTGGGCTGTTTTATAAAATGTATGGCATAGAACTGGGGAGAAGGATGCTCATCTGTGATATTGTGTTATTGTTTGCATATGACAAGTTTTCATATAAGTTCAGAAGTGGCAGAAAAAATTACTTGAAAAGAAAAGTAATAAAATACAAGAAGCGGGTGAATTCTAAAACAGAAATCTCTACTTACCAGAGAAAATTCTATCCAATATGCAGAGACAATTTACGTGCAAGAAAGGCATTTTTCTGACAGTTTAAACCTTCATAAAAAATATTTGTGTTGTCATTTATTTTGATTAGTCTAGTCAGTTGGCCCTTGTAAAGATTGTGATTGCCAGGAATGGTTATGAAATTACCTCTACATATGTCACACCAGCTGCATCCAACCAGGAAGTAAAATTAAACTAAACTAAACTAAAATTGAAAAGAATGGCAAATTATTTAGTAAAATAGAAGTATGTTAACTATATGTCTTTGTGAAAAAAAGTTTGCACATTAACAAAGTTGTACTGCACCAGAGTATTTTTGTTATGTTGTTCTGCAGGTGGCCCTCCACATATTAGATTAATTAGAAAGATGCATCTTTCTATTTGTTCAAAAAGGATTTGCCCATTTGAATTACCTAAGATAAGGATCAAAGCTTAGCTCAATCACAGACACAACAAACAAACTCACTGATTCTTATAGAAGTGAGAAGCTGCAGTTTAAAAATAACATCAGTCTCAACACACACTTTGTACTTTCCTTTGTACTTGAGTTTACAAAACCGTCCATTCTCAGAGGTAAATGATACAGACCCGCTTCTAAATAAGTAAAATCACTGCTAATTTAAATTGTAATTTGAATATTTATTTGCAAATATTAAACATATACTATTTGGTTTGATTATCCAACACTTTTGCCTCTGATGTGAGGTTTAATTTTCTCCAATTCTCTTTGGATACTCAGGTCTCATCTAAAGATATCGATGTCTCTTAAGGAAATTGATATGATACATGAGCGTCGCTTTTGCCTGGGTATTTCTTCGAGCCTGTCTGACAAATACCTGGCCAGTGTTTATGGCGACTTCCACCTTAGGTTGATTATTAGTATCTCCCCTGTTGAAAATATGTAATTTTCTTTCAATTCACAGCAAAACCCAAATGTTTTGCTGTGTGATTGATTGAGTGATTTATGTATTTGGTTTCAAGCTCACAACAGAATTTTATCAGGACATTCACCTTTTGTTTAGTACAATGTTTAAACCTATGTGCAACCAAAAGGAATACAAATATAGGCTTCTTTATTTACATCTACATGGTAAAAAGTGAAAACCAGTCAAATCCATACAATGACTATATTGACTATTTGCTTGTTGCATGTTGTATTGTTATGTTAGCAGCATCCTTATTAGACATGCAGTCCCCTGACTCACTCTCTGGCCCTCACTCAAGTAACACAGCTTTCCTTAATGGGATTAGTCACCTGCTTGTACTGCCACCACACTTTAAAATAGTCCACTGCACCGGTGCCAAGTTGCACGCTGTGTATACTGACATATGCTGAGGTTTGGGTTACACACCGTTTTACGTCATACTAACTCTGGGCCACAAAAGCTCCTGTCAAAATACTCCCAGCAGATGTTTCCTCTAGAAGTGAGTACGTTTTTGTCATAAATCAAATTAACAAGTTGCCAGCCCATAAAAGAAGCTTAAAAGTAATTTCTGAATCTGAGACAACGCTAGAGCCAGAGAGCTATTGCCAAAGCTTTTAAGTATTGATTGTACAAAAAGTTGAGCTTTGACTGAAATGTTTCACAGTATGGTATTACACTTTTCTATCCTTATGGAGATCAAACTAGACTAAGTTACAGGTCAGATCTGTGGAGAGGCAACCCTGCTCAGAGTCGGATTGCTTGTTTTTTCTAGGTATCTTGAGCTGTAAAACCACCTGTAATTTAATAACTGTAATGTAGAGCGGTTTAATGTCATACTGTGGAACATTCAAGGCAGAACAATGACATATCCAGGAACAAGTAGGTGACAGACCCCAACCAAAAAGATACATAATACATCTTTAAGAAATAATAATGAGCAATGACTTCTTTTTAATTCTATGATAGCACACAATAGCTAGGTGGTTAACAAAAAAAACCTTTTATTAATACTATGGGCCTGTATTTGTTTCCAGTTGACAGTATGCATTACAGAAACATTTTACGTTAAAGCCAAAACAACCATTCTTACCTGTGAATCATTCAAGGCCTGCCTATCTCCTCTTTGAAGTCTGAGTAACAAACTGAAGAAAAATGCAAAAACAAAAAACAACACTGCAAACCACAGTTTTAGTTCAGTGAGTTATATTGACTACTTGCCTCAGCCTGCCTATTATATTTGCATGATCTTTATGGAGACAGGAAATACAAATTAAGAACGCATAAACATATCCAAGATGTTGTTGGTAAATTCCAAAACCAACTACTGCAAACAGCCGTCACAACCCTGCGTGGCATCTCTAATATTAAAGACTTACTCCATGCCTTATCTCCTTTGATCATGGATGCACAGTGTCAAAGAAATCGAGGAAAATAATAATGCCAGTTTAGAGAATAATAATAAAGACGTCCTCATCAATAATCGCAGTCCGTTTGATACAGATTTGGAATAAAAGCAAGACATTTTTAGAGGAATTGTCTTTCCATCCATCTATCTACGTGTCTTCGCCACCTTTCCTTCCTGTTACCACGGCGTCCTCTTGGCTTGCGTGGCGCCGTGCTGCCAGTAGCAGGCTGATTAAATGAGCAGTGGTCTATGTGGGTCATATCTCAGTTGGAGCGCTCTGATCGGTTAGTGCTGCCTGCCTGTGTTATCTTCCCGACTCCCTGCTTCCTCTGCTTCAAGGGGAACGGCTTTGGCTGTGTCTTACGAGGTGACAAGTCTAGCAGCTCCAAAGGCATGACAAGTGCTAGGTTTTTTTTAAAAGGAGGCGAAGCGATCTGTTTATTGTGTGATTAATTAATAGCAATGGATGGATATAGCAGGTGTAATATCAGAAAGCATGGAGAATGAATTTTGAAAATACAGCAGTTCATAAATGGGAGACAAATCTAATACATAAGACCAGTATTGTGGCTCGGATTTAAATAGGGCTGGATATCATTAAGAAGTTGCCGATACGATACATACCTCAATACATATGATACATATCTTGAAACAGTGCACTTCGATTCGATACGACAAGATATATTTCAAATCACTTCAATATGGTTCAATAAAAAATAACGGCTAAGTAATGTCTGTGACACAAAAAGTCTTTGTTAAACCGCTTCTTGTGCAAAGTTTATATGAAACACACCAATTCTTGTCATCAAAACAGTGAAAATGTCAAATGTGCTGCATAAATGAGTTTCCTTCCACTAAACAAGCAACAAAACTGTAGCGATGTACCAAAATAATTTAGAATATACCAAAATATAAATATACCAAACAATACTCTTGGCGATATGTTGATACAGCAGCCCACGTTATCGATACTGTATCATCACATTAAATTATATGATATATCAATATTTCAATATTTTTGCGCACTCCTAGATTGAAATGTCCAAAATCCAAATGCTACCACTGATTCTTTGCAGTGATATCACGCTGAGGTGTTCTACATGTATGTCTATGACAGAATGTTTTGAAAGTGACCATGTTGACACAATGCACACATTATTAAACAACCATTTTTTAACTGTCTAAAAACATGTATATACAAAACAGATTTAAACAACACATTTTCAGGAGCCTGTGATCAATATGAGCGTTCAAGGGTCTGTTGTGTTTGATTTTTAACAAAAAGGTGAGACTGACTAACTGAAAAACTGCTGGCTAAGGCGAGTTTGCTTGTGACTGTAATGTTATTTGGGAAAGACTTGTTTAACAGTAAAAGTCAGTGCTCTCAATTCTTTCTGGTCAGATTGTGTTCAAATAAAGCTCAGGACTAAATCTATCAAAGCCTCAGACAGAGCATGCTTACAGTTAGTAGCATAGGGAATGTGGATGACATAAGCTGCAAAGTATAAATTCTGTACCCATTACTTGAAATTGAAATGAAGGGTCTAAAGCAGTGGTTCTCAAACTGTGGTATGCGTGCTCCAGGTGGCACATGACAGATTTTTCAGCAGTACAAATATTTGCTAAATTTAGAGTCAATTTAATCACAGTTTTAGATCTTCTTTGGATTCAGAGCTTGTATAGCAATAGTGAAAAATCATTTGAAATTAGCCCTGTTTTGGATGTGGTCACTGGTGGTATTGGTAGGTAGTATTGATGCTTTGCCTGCTGATGGGTTCTACGTGTATCTCTATTGGCAGAATGTTCAGCAGTTACCATGGTGACACAATGCAGACATTAACAAACACAGACAAAATACAAAATCAGTTCAAACAACACATTTTCAGGAGCCTGTGATCAATACAAGTATTCATGGTCACGGTCAACAAAAAAAGAGTGACTAATTGAAAAACGTTTGTGTAAGAGAGCACAAATCAGGTCACCTGTTGTACTTCCAACCAAGTCAAAGGTCACATTAAGTCTGACATGACTAACAGAGCTTCTGACAGCGTAGTGCTTTCAGTTAGCTTCTCACCCCCAGGTACAGACTCAGGTGGAAAGTATCAATTGGGTTTGTACTAAGAAAAGTTTGAGGTTGAGTGCCATTG